AACATTATGAGGAGGATGTGAAATGGCTACTCAACTATAAAAACAGGACATCATACGCACCGCAGGTGGTATTACGAGGTGGAAGAAGTCTCCTGAGCTCAACCGTGGAAGCAGGAAAATGAAACATTCTGCAACCAGAATTACCAAGAATGGGGCATCTACCAGCATCAACCATAGGAATAGGGTGTTACCTACCTGAATCTGTTATTACAGGGAGAATCCAGAATTGGCTGGTCCAGTTCTCACTAACATCAGTACACATAGGATTAAACCTCCAGGGGATAGAAGCAAGGAGAATTCCCAGCTTTGCCCTCTTCTCAATGTAGTGGAGTAATAAGTAATATAATGATGTGTGTTCTACACTCATGAGGAAGCCTCTATGGTCCACCACCCCAGCAGGTAGGAACTGGGAAATGGTAAGGACTCCCAAACTCCACTTAATGAAGGGAGAGGTAATAGGCATTGGGGAGTTTGGAGGAACATCACAATGGAGAAAGTGCAATGGGTGACTATGAAACCCTATTTTGAAAAGTAGAATGCTCCCAATTTATTCAATTGAAGAGGAAAGATAAGACAGGGAACATGAAGCCAATGGTTCAAAGGGAGGTTGGAAAAGGGCAAAAAGGATGACACTAAGATCCCAATCAGGTACAGGAAAGACACAGTGGCATTCAAAAAACACGAAAAGACCAGAACACTGGGAGAGGATACAACCCAGAGAAATTTGGTAAAGCAAGATGTGTTCCACAAGGCTGTTCTATAATCAGAAACTGTCAAAATGAAAATATCTTTATCGAATCACCAGGCGAAAAACTGGAAGGACAGAAACCATGCCAGAGAGACCAATGACAAAAAGTAGTTCAATGTTGTTGGTAAATGGACAATGTAGAAAATCAGACCAAAGGGGAGGGAAAGAAGTAACATGTGGTGTCAGATCCTGTCTTATTGCAAGGGCCCTGACAAAAGTCATGTGTAAAGCTGGAGGGTGGGAATGGTAGGATGGATGACATCCAAATGATGTTGACAAAGGAGAGAAGGAGACTGAGGGAGGGACATAGGTGATAATAACTGTAGAGGCCTCAGGAGAGGGAATCAAAGCTGAGCCAGCCAAAATGGAGTTGCCAAGAGAACTTGACACAGAGTGGTGTGGATGAGGGAGATTACTTTGGGGAAAAGACATAGGCTGGAAGGCATAAATATGAAGGCCCCTTCATTCCTGACTGAAGGCATATACCCCTAAAGCCTGAGGATGAGGAACCAGGAAACCACATAGATGGTAGTTTGTTGTTCTGAAGGGTGGCAAAATACATCTTTGTGTGTCATTCCCAGGCAAGAGCATAATCATCAGAAAACTTGAGGATTTAGAGACCATTCCTTAGGAATGACCTTGTGTGGACGTGTAAACCAATCCACAACAAGAGTCAAAGCACTGGGAATACAGCAAACCAAGAACTGTAACCAGAGCTCATGAGCCCAGAATAGAAACTCCAGTCTGAAAACAAAGGGACCTGAATTTTGGTACCCCTTGCTTGGGGATGTATATATAGAAATGTTGGAATACAGCATAACCAACTTCCCCTTCAAAAGATAGAGGAAATAAGACATAGGTCTGGAAAACCCCCTTGTGCATGAACCAAAAAATGATGTGAGGATGGAAAGATGGGAACATGAAGGTATGCATTCACTCTGTCAAACTTGGTCATCCAAAGACCTGGAGTGAAAACCCAACAAAAGGACAGAAACCACTCCATGGTGAAACGAGGAGGATTCAGAAACTGATTTAGATGTAAGAGGTCGATAATGGGTCTCCAATCCCCAGTTTTCTTAGGGACAAGAAAATGTTGAGAGTAAAAACCTAGTTAACCAGGAAACACCATTTCAATAGCTTCATTGAGAAGAATGTCTCTCACTGCCTTGAACAGATGACTGCTTGAGACAGAATCCCCTGGAGGGGAGTAAAGAACTGGAGACATGGAAAGAGAAGGTGGTGACTGGAATTGAGGAGGGAGATCCTCTGACAAAACCTGCAGAACCCACAGATCAATAGTGAAGGTCTTTCAAATGTTGACAAAGCAATGTAACCACTGGGTAGTCACCTATACCATTGTCAACGTTCTTGATGGGCACAGGAAAATGAGGATAAGGATGAGAATGTCAAGCTGCAGGTAAAGGATGAGATGTGGAAGTGAGAGAACTGGAAACAGGAATAGGATAAGGAGCTGTGGAGGAGGAGGGTTGTGATAACTGATTAGCAAGGGTCTATAGAGAAGTATGCAACCTGGCCATGTCAACATGGGATTCCAAAGTATCAGGACAGCCCTCTAAAATGGTGTTATGTAAAAATGGAGCCATTCTTAAGTTCCTGAGGGAAGATGGGGAGACAAACCCACACAAGCAGTGCATCTATCTCTCCAACAAGTCTCAACAACAAAGAAGCCAGTTAAGTAGGAAAAGGGCCAATGAAGAGAGCCTCATCAAAGTTAATCACAAAATAGATCTGGGGTCTTCCAAAAAATCATTGGGAGAATGATGAAAGGCCTTGGACAAAAGGTACAAAGAGGAGAGGTAACTCAAAATGTTTGTAAGTGTAAGACAAATCTTCAAAAATTGTGCCTGTGAAAATGATACAAAAGCCTCAAGATTCATACCCTAGAGGAGTAACAACATACCTAATTGTTGGGAATCGAATAAGGATCTGAAAAGCGATTAAATGCTAAAGCATGTTGGTTAGAAACTCGAGGGAGTCAAGACTTACTAGCCCCCAAATTCCACTGTGATAAAAACTGCTATGCATGAGCCTCAATGTCAGGTGAAGGGGAAACACAAAACAGTCCAAGTTAGGGATCTCACAGAAAAGAGAAGGATAAGAAACAGAAGAAACATTCAAAATGTGCCAAACCTGTGTAATTAATTGGTTAAACCTCCTCCAAATGTGCAGAACATGGCCATATGGCAAAAAAAGAAGCAGGAACAAGGTTGTCTAAATCATCTTGAACATTCTAATCAGCCTGAAGAGGTGCTGGCCATTGTGGAGAAGAAGGCCCAGACTCCATGTAAGAAACTAACTCCAAACAAACCAAGGTTTATTTAAAAAAATAAAAACAAAGAAAGTCCGAAATATCATGAAAAAACAGTTGAAAACTGAAAGCGAGAAACATGTCCGACAACTCATAATTGTGCCAGTTGAGAAAGTGAGGTTCACAAAAAAGTCGTACAGAGGGAATCAGCTACTCCAGAAGAGTATGTCATGCTCCTATTGGTGGAGGATTTACACATGCTCTATGCATGCAAAATGAACAGCTTGAAATTATGGGGTATAATGCAGGAATATTTATTTTCAATGCATTATAGGGCTACGGAAGATCGAGAGAAGCTATTGTGTGAGAGGAGGTATGTATCACATCAGAAATATTACAATTCTTGAGCATGGGCTTTTACATCATTGACAAGCTTACCAGACAAGAAAGTTTTCATGCAAGATTGGGCTTCTGCTCTTCAGCCCATGACAGGTCAATGGATTACTACTCTCTCATGAGCAGGAAAATCATCAGATATGAACCTTTGTTTGGTTTAACTATATAGTCCTTTATTCACCACTAATAACCTGAAATAATTTTGCAATTAATTATCCATTATTATTCAGCAAACTAACTTGTTATTTTTCTATTTATTAATTTCTTTTCTTTAACAAATGTGAATATCAATGAAGAAAAGATGATGTACAGTATTTTTGTAGTGAGTAAAGAACTATACATCTAAAAAAGCAGCAAAAAACTGCTTACATTCTGTTACTATAGAACACCTACTATATTTATTTGCTTTGTTTGCTCTTCCAAACAGCAATGACGAGCTGTGAGTGTGGTAAAACTAGTCTTTTGCAGTGGGAGTAGCGAATTAAAGGATAGATTAGCCCTTTAAGCCATCTTTTATTTACAAAAATTCACATTTTGGTGAAGAAAATAAATCAGCAAATAATAAAATATGAACCTTATATAGCATGTGTGGTCCATCCCTGTTTGTTTCCTGTAAAAACATCACAAATAACTGACATCTAAAACATCCTTATCCAAGTAATTTGCCAAGAGTGTGAACAATCCAACAGGCCCAAGTTTCAGATCTTCTAAACATGATGTGTAACTTTGTTTCTGCCATAAATTATGCAAAAGGCAGGTACACTAAATAATAACCTTCTATTCTATGATAGAAAGATTAAAAATATTTTTCTTCATCTCAAAAATCTCAAATTTCATTTGCTTAATCTTTAAAACTGCCAAAATACATTTCAAATGTTTGTTTTCAGTAAAACTATATTTAATCTGTTATTTTCTCTACCCTAACTCTATACAAGGTTGTTCAATTTGACTGACCTCGTAACCACCAAACAAAATTTGAAATAAATCTAAATTACTCTCTTTTTAGAATGACTTCAAATTGTAACAAGAAACTACATTCGTTTATCCTATGTAGCTTTAAACTTGTTACAGTATACATCTATTTATATTTAAAGTTTATTCTTTTATTGCCCTAGAAGGTGGAAGACTTTCGAAACATCATCCTCTACACTTGTGTTTCTACTACAGGCAGTTGCCGTCCATTCATGAATACTCTGCCTAAACAGAACATGAAAATCACTTTGCATGTGGACTAGTAAAAAAACAACAACTCAATATATTCTTGGACAAATCTTTTTTTTAGTTTATTAAAAATACTTCACTAAAAATATGATTTTTTGTATGTGAAAGACTTACAAAGTTTCTCAAAGTCTGCCAAATTTTGTGAAAATATACATACTATATTAAAAGTTAGTAATATCAAAACTACAGAGACTTTAAACGAGTACAAAGAGGTCCCGTGATCAGTCAAATCAACTGAGCCAGTGTTGAGAGAGTTAATAGATAATTTTTATTACTGTAACTTTTTGATAAATTTCCAAAAAACAGTATGCTAAATTTGTTGTGAAAGTACTAATATTCTTTAATTGAACCACTTATAAAACCTACAGTATTGAAAATTTCACCAGCTTCTTCACGGGACATTCTGTCTTGTATCTCATCAAAATATTTTAGTCCTATCTGCTGCTGGCGAGACAGCTTCGCTTTTGTTTTCAAATCTTTTAAAGTGCGAAATCCCTTGAAATACAAAAAAAAAGAAAAAATAATTCTATGCCATTGGAAACTTCTAATACATGTAATAATGGTAACTATTTCAAATTAAACTGTTATATTTTACAGAATGTTGTTCATGTTAACAGGTTTTCCACCCAGCTCATTATGAAACATACTGCCCACAGGGGAGAAGTGTGACAGCCAGATAACTTAACCTGGGCCCAGGCGTCTTATACAACTGTACTTATTCATTCGCTGGTAATATGTCACATGTGAAGTGTTGTCATATTGGTCATCTCAGTGAGCAAACCTCTTTGGGTATGCTTCCACTTTTTGGCTTTCACTGAAAAAAAGTTTTGTTAAACCATTCCACTATCGATGAAAAAGGTGAGGAGGAAATATCTGTCAAAATCTTTGCCAAGTATGTGAAAAGGAGCCTTTAGTACATCTAAAGCATCCATTATGGAATTCCAGTTATTTTTAATCCATATTACAGATATAAGATAATGTTTTGATAAAGTTTAACTAATAATGAACTATACATTTTTACAATTTTAACACATACATTCCTCTATGATTCATTATGTAGGTATGTATGTATGTATGTATGTGCTGGCAAGCTTATTGTACAACCAGTCATCTAATAATCTTCGAGCTACTGTAGCCAATTTACTAGGTTTGTATGATGTGCTGCAATGCAAATTCATATGTCAACATACCTTACAAGTATTATAAGGAATTATATGCAAGGTACAAAAACGTTTACTTTCCACAACAGCTATAATGTAAGTCATACTAATATACGTAACATAATGTCATTATGTACTGATATAGATGTATATAATGCCATTTTTAAACAGAATGTTTATAACATACAGACTTGGGAATATATACATATTACAAAAATATGGACTCCTTTTCTTTCTTTAGTGGATAAATTTTCTAACACATGTTTATACAGAAAAGGAAGAGATGCCTTTAAAGCACAAGGCAACACTGAATGTTAGAGGAGGTAATGTACCGTATCAAAAACACTAATTTTGATTAATTAATCAATTATTTTACTTGACACTAATCAATATAATTGCTCAGAGGTAAGTGATAATATTGAGTTAATTGCCCAGTCCTATATATTATTGGCAAAAACTTTCAGCCCTCCATGCATTGTTCATAGTATTTTTGTGTCACTGTGCAGTACTATCTTAATTGATATTTAAACTGGGCTTAATCAGATGCCCAATTTCACATTATTGGCTCTTGAAACAACATGGTGTAGATAAGTTGTAAATGGGTAATTACACTTCTCTTTAACAGTTCTTTTTATGTGAATTATTTTTAGATCATGAAATTTTGAAATTATATAGGACTATAATAAGACAGGTAATAAATGTAACAAAAGTTGGATTGAAAATTAATTTAACTATGTATTTTTGTATGAATAGTACTGTTACATATTATAGGTTACGCAGTATTAAACGCAGCACATCACTCAGTATATTCATGAATCCCTTTCTCAGGACCTCACTGGAGGACTAGTATAAAAACAATTTTCCTGAGCTGTTTTTAATCCCCAATTTGCTCCTGCTCAAACAAGCTTTGTAAAGGAAGCTCCCAACCAAGCCTGATTAAACAGGGAGAGAAATAAGCAATATATAAAAGGAAAATAAAAATAAACTAACTTTTTATTCATTAATAACTTAAAAACAAACATGTACATTACACTTTTTAAATCAACTTTTACGTAATTAAATGGCTACTTATGTTTGGAATCTTTTATTAGTAAACATGACATGCATTAACTGGTTTAGAATTATAAGGTACATAAAAAATAAACTTATTTATAAACAGTTTAATATAAATATATAAAATTCATTAATTAGTATAAAACTCGTATGAGAGATAGAAGTCAAAACATTTAAGAAATAAAAACTTTTCATAAGATCCTGTGTGGTTCATAGTTTGAAACTATGTGCACTATACTCCAGTCAGCATCACATAATTTAATTAATGAGACATTTTTATACCTGTTGATATTAAAGTTTGTCAACTATGCACATATTAAATATTTGTTTAATACCTGCTGTACCCAAAGTTCAGCAGTGGAAGGTCCTGCTCCCCAAACCTTTGTGAAAAGACCAATGGCACTGTTGCGTTCACTACAGCAAACCTCATCGATTTTTCTTAAATGTCCACTCTGAATTATTTCCCATATTTTGTCTGCGAGTTGAGTTCCAATGCCAGGCAAAGACCTAGCTTCCTGAAAAGCAAAAATAAGTACAAAACAATAGACACATGATTTTAAGAAAACTACCCCTTTTGATAATTTTTCAAATTAGGAAAATGTTAACTTCCAATAAAATATGTTACCTCTACTCACATGACAGCTGGTAGAGGGACCAGTGTAACATTACTTAGATGAGCCCCCCTTCTGAAAGCACAAAAGAACCCTATGGGTTGTGTGAATAAAGAGTATGTAAGACACACACATGTGAGATCGCACCACTTCTGAGCCAGGTATGCTCTTTGCCCATGAAACTGATGTGCTGCAATAAGGGAGTAATTACAGGAGTCACCCCAAAAAATTAAATGAAGGGACCCCTGGTGTAGAGTGGCTATGGTAAAGCAGACCATAATGGGAAGTTCTACCTCAACTAACACCAACAGTACTGTGTTAGGAATATCTGGCCCATGGTAGAAAGAGGGTCTTTTACCATTCACCTTAGACACATAAGCTAGAAGGGAAGGATATCTCCATTGCAAGGACCTACATCATCATGTGTCCAACATAACCAACACCATTAAACCCTGGAAACTGATATCTGGAGGATGGTAGAAAGGCAGACAGCAATGATGTAGTTCAACTCCAACCAGAACCAGGCAGTATTGGGAATTAATCCACATGCCAGCGAACTATATCTTCCAAAGACTGGCAGAATTGGGCAACTAAGGATATGGTAAGGTCAAAGATTTGATGGGAGGAGACTTGGAAGGGATGAAAGACATCAGGAAAAAGGGAAGAATAAATCAAACAAATCATCTGGCAAATACAACCCGTATTGGTAATTGGAAAAATATCATGGGAAAGATTCCAACAAATAAAGAAATGGCAATGGGAACCACAGAATGGAACAGTGCAAGCTACATAACAATAGAGAACCCCAACAGGATATAGAAGCTATATGAAGCAAAATGAGTCTAAAGGTGAGAAATGGAAGGGAGAGAAATAGGAGTAAAGGCAAAACCACTTTCACATGGGGCCAAAGTTTTGGGTAGGAAAGACTGATCCAGGTAGAGGATGACATAGGATTGGTGATATAATGTGCAAGAGACACTGAGTGCGAACAAGTCCGGAATGTTGATGTCCACACACCAAGAAGAGGAAGGAAAAGGTTTTTAAGGAGAGATGATATATGTAACAGGAATACATAGACACAAAGGGAGTAAGTGTGAGGGCATAGAGGGCGACACTGAGATTCCAATCAGGGAGGGTGGTAGGATTCAGGAGATGGCAAAGCCAGAAGGAATGAAACAAAAGGGTGAGGACCATTGAAATAAAGACAAAGCAAAGTGTTGTGAAGAGAAAGTGGCTGAATGATGTAAGAAACAATTACCAAATTGTTAGAATGGACCATAACCAATCAGTTCCAGAGAGGTGGAAGGAAATGAACCAAAGCTCAACAAACAGTGAGCAGTTCTAAGAGATTCATATGCAGAGATTGCTCTGTGTCATGAAGTCTCCAGTAGGTCTAGATAAACACCCCAACCTGAAAGAAGAGCATCTGTGAAAAGGTGCATTTCTGGATGAGGAGGAGGAGGAAGAGAAATACCCACTGTGGTGTTGTCTTGGTTCAATCACCAGGTGAAGTTCATATGCAGGGAAATGGAAGGGGTGTCCAAAGGATCCAAACAAGGTTCCACTGACCTTGTAAAGCCCACTGAAGAGGTTGCATGTGGGCTTAACCAAGGAGAATGAAGACCTCCAAAGAGCCCACATCCCCAAAAAGAAACAGAACCTCTCATGCAGTTGGAAAAGGAGAGGAAGAAACTGTCCAAAGCAGAAGTTCCTTAGATTGCAAGCAAAAGGGAGAAGGTTGGGCCCAGCTGAGACAGGAATTGAAAAATACCCTGAGATAAACAAGGAATTGAGTGAGGGAGAGAAAGGACTTCTGCACCTTAATAAGCCAACCTACCTGCAGCTTCTTGAAGAAAAAACTGAGTGTGAAGAAAAGAAGTGGGATGCAAAGGAGCAAGAAGCAGCCAATCATTCAGGTAATGGTAGAAATGAAGGCCTCTGGAATGGAGAAAATGGTCAAAGGCCTTGATCACTAAACAAAAAATGTAGGGAGCCAAAGCAAGCCCAAATGGAAGGGACTGGAAATGGTAAACGTAATTTTGATGGACAAAACATATAAAATGCTGGGATGATGGAGAGATGGGAACGTGGAGGTAAGCATCCAAGAGATCTACCTTCATAATCCACAGGCCAGGACTGAAAACCCATCAAAGATATAGATATGAGTCAATGGTGAATCAAGGAAGGTCAAGGAAAAAAGATGAATGGGGTGCCAATACCTGGGCATCTTGGGGAAAATAAACAAACAGGAATAGAAAACTGGATGAGAAGGATCCATACATACCACAACACCCTTGTGAAGAAGGTTGAGAACCACTTTGGACAGATTCTGGCTGAAAATGGGATACCGAGAAGGGGGGGAAGGAAACAGGATGAAGGGACAGGGAAGGAGAGTAAGAAAAATGAAGAATGAGCCCTTCAGGGAAAATCCACAGAACAAAAGGGTCTGTGGTGAAAGACTTCCATACAGTGGCAAAACACAAAAGTCTGGCCACCACTGGACCTGTATCAACCATATAGTCACTGGGACCAGTGAAGTAATTGAAAAACTGACTGTTGACCATGGAGACCCATGAAGCAGGTACTGGGAAAGGAGAGGAAAGAGTGAGGCATGACACGGGCACAGGTTCGGGAGGAGACTGAGGTAAATAGGAAGCCAATGAGGAAAGAGAGGTTTGCAAACAGGCAGATTCAACTCTGAATTATAATTACTCAGGAAGGCTCACAAAGATGTCTTGCATTAAAAAGGGAGCCAACCGCAAGTACATGTGAGAAATTTGGGGTAAACGACATGAAACAAAAGTCTGTCCTGACCCAAAAGATCACAACAACAGAGGAATCGTGTTTGGAGGGAAAGCATGGAAAAGGACAATCGTGTAAGAATGGAAGACATCAGGGCACAAGCCTCCACCAAAAACCCTACAGGGTAACGATGAAGAGTGGCCTCAGACAAAAGGTGAATCAAGGAAAGGGAATGAACAAGGGAGGATAAGGTGAGGCAGATATGGAAGAAATGATGTTGGGAAAATGTGATTGAAGTACTGGGATCCAAACCCCTCAGAAGCAGAAGAGAATCCAACCATTGTGAGTCAAATAAAGGAAACTCAGACAGATGGTAAGTCAAAACATGGGCATCCATATTATGTGGGGATCAATGCATACTGACCCCAGTACATAATTTTCCACAAACATTTTGGCATGAACTCCAATATCCAGTGAGGGGAGGAAAACAAGATATTGGGCTGAAGATATCTCACTTAAAAGAGAATCAGAGGAACCAAAGGAAATGGGAAACCAGGATGAAACATAACAAACCTGGTTGATCAACTCCAGGAAAAGAGAGAAGGCCTAAGCACATCCACAGGAGCTAAACGTCACTATGTGGCTAGGATGGGGAGGAAACAGGCTGTCAAAATCATCATCCCCTTGTTCAGTTTCCTCTGAACAAGGCATGACACGATACTGAATTCCTGATAACTATGAGTGGAAATAATAAAAACCCACAAAGGGAGCTCAATAAAAATATTATTAATGACAAGTAATATTAATGTGTATAAATGAAAAGTCAGAGAACTAAAGTGTAGCAAACTAAAAAACAACAACTAAGTTCTCCAAAAAACAAATAACTGATTAAGAATCTGTGAGTAAAGCTCAATGAAAAACTCATCTAAACATCATGAGTACCAACTGAGAAATGAAGTGGAGTTCAGCTGCACAGAGGGAGCCAGCTGTGCAAGGAGCTGTGTCGCACTCTATATTGGTGAGGGATTGTCACCTGCTAGTATGCAGCTGCATCACGTAAAAGACACGTGAGGGTTATTGGGAGTATCAAGGTTAGTGGCAAGCAAAAATTTATGCAGTACAAATCGAGAAAAGCTTTTATGTGAGAAGAGGTAGAATATTGTATCGGAATTCTCTGTTTACAGTCATGATGTAATAATAAATTTCTCCTAGTTGTGGAGAAGCGGGTGGGAATGTAGTTTAAATTCATTTTAATTCCAAAAATGTAAACTTCAAATCAGGTAGACTTACCTCTGAAATACTGTAAGTCATAATATCCCAATTAAGATAGAGAAACAAACCAAAGAGTGATATAATAAATGACAACCAATGTATGTTGAACTTTGGAACAAGAAATGTAACATACACAGACCACAACAATACCAAGTAGTATGATTAAGCAGAGATTGAGTAAAACCTAGAACCAGGATGACAACAATATTTCTCTTGAAGAATTGGGTGGATAGGACCAGCCTGTTAAACAGATTGGATCAAAAATGCAGGCACCAAAAAAAGAGAGCATTCTTCTCAACAACATACCTATTTGCCCTAGTTGCTCTTTGATTAAAAAGAAAGGTGGGTCAGATGGTATGGTGATAATTGGGTAACCGTGCACATTTGCAGTTTGATCTCAGATGATGTTAGACAAGTATACAGGGTCAACATACATAATGGTGTCTGGTAGCTGTTAGATAAAGATTCTTGGTGGACAAAACCAGTATGGACTAGGCATGCTCTTAGGTTTAAAGTTTCCACCATCCAAAACTGAAAATGCCAGCAAAGCAAAGTCAAATCTAGACTAGTCAGCAGGCATTCAGGAAGAATAAAAAAGGGTTAGGTAATCCTGAAGATGAGCTCAACAATTCAAAAACAATGCAAAGGGGACATCAAATAAGGTACAAGATAATTAAAAAGTGTTAATTTCAAAAGGGGAATAAGGGTGGTAAAAAAAAATACACAAACAAGTTGTATCAAAATGCAAAGATTATATTTTCAAGTCTAGAACTAAACTGAAAAGTACTGTAGACATGGAGTCAAAATAAGGACTTGTAGATTGAAAAAATAATTTAGTCACTATTTTCAGCTTAGTTTGTTTATTTTTTATAGTCCCTGGATGGAGGTTT